TATATTAAATTAATAACCTGTTAACAAAAATTATGACAAGTGAATACTACTCATACTTCTGTCATTTCAGCAAAAGACAAAAATAATATATCAAAATGAAAATAGCATACTGAACTTTTGTAAATTTTAGATTAGAGCCCAAAATATTTTTTTCATGATAGATGTTAATTTAAATGAATAAAAATGATTTTATATAAAGAGAAGTTAATCTTTGATGCAGGTTGCAAGATCACTGCTTGCTACTGGGACCTTAAATTTAAAAAAAACATTGGATAGGCGCGCCATGCTGTTATTTTTCTTTGTTTTTTTTTTGAAACAGAGTCTTGATCCTGTGCGTAGGCTGGAGTGCAGGGGCATAATCTCAGCTCACTGTAACCTCCACCTGCCGGGTTCAAGCAATTCTCCTGCCTTAGCCTCCCAAGTAGCTGGGATTATTGGCATGTGCCACCATACCCAGCTAATTTTTGTATTTTTAGTAGAGACAGGGTTTTGCCATGTTGGTCAGGCTGGTCTTGAACTCCTGACCTCAGGTGATCCACCTGCCTTGGCTTTCCAAAGTGCTGGGATTACAGGCGTGAGCCACTGCACCCAGCCCATTCTATTATTTCTATTTTAAATATTTAAGCACTTTGAGTTCCTTGAATCAAGATTCTCTCTTTGGAGCAATTGTTATTTCACTAAAGAAACAAGTGGCTCTTGGGAAATATTATAAAGAAGACAGGAAAGAAAGAGGACTGTTTTAGCAGGAAACTGAAGCTGGGCAGCTCAGCACAGAAAAAGGAATATGGGCTCAAACCCTCATCCCTTGACCAGAATTCTTGATGACCCATTGGACATCTTTGGTGGATAATTCAGCTGTTCCAAATCAGCCCATCTAACTCCCTCCCCTCAGTGGAGACTTATCCTTCTTGTTCTGTAACCTAGTTAATGGTCGAACCATCCATCCAGTTACTTAAGCCAGAAGACTGGGAATCATGTTTGGCTCTTCCTTACATGGTATTTCTGTCTCCTATTTGCCCCTCATTGTGCCTACTTCTTTGATTCCCACCATGGTGGTCCTGGCTGAGGCCCTCTCATCTTTCTTCCAGATAACCAGAACAGCTTTTTAACTGCCTTTTTTGTTCCATGGGATGGCCTCTTTAAAAACTTTCACTGGTAGAAATGTGATATGGTTTAGTTCTGTGTCCCCACCCAAATATCATCTTGTAAGTCCCACAATTCCCACGTATTGTGGGAGATGATTGAATCATGGGGGCAGGTCTTTGCCATGCTGTTCTTATGATAGCAAATGAGTCTCACAAGATCTGATGGTTTTAAAAGTCGGAGTTTCTCTGCACAAGCTCTCTCTTTTCCTGCTGCCATCCATGTAAGATGTGACTTGCACCTCCTTGCCTTCTATCATGATTGTGAGGCTTCTCCAGCCATGTGGAACTGTGAGTTCTCCGTTAAACCTCTTTCCTTTGTAAATTGTCCAGTCTTGGGTATATCTTTATCAGCAGTGTGAAAATGGACTAATACAGTAAATTGGTACCAGTAGAGTGGGGTGTTGCTGAAAAGATACCTGAAAATGTAGAAGTGACTTTGGAGCTGGGTAACAGGCAGAACAATTTGGAGGGCTCAGAAGAAGACAGGAAAATGTGGGAAAGTTTGGAACTTCTTAGAGACTTGTTGAATGGCTTTGACCAAAAGCCTGATAGCAATATGGACAATAAGGTCCAGGCTGAGGTGGTCTCAAATGGAGATGAAGAACTTATTGGGAACTGGGGCAAAGGTCACTCTTGTTATGTTTTAGCAAAGAGACTGGTGGCATTTTGCCCCTGCTCTAGAGGTTTGTAATTTGAACTTGAAGGAGATGATTTAGGGTATCTAGCAGAAGAAATTTCTAAGCAGAAAGTATTCAAGAGGTGACTTAGGTGCTTTTAAAGGCATTCAGTTTTATAAGGAAAGCAGAGTATACAAGTTCAGAAAATTTGCAGCTGGATAATGCGATAGAAAAGAAAATCCCATTTTCTGAGGAGAAATTCAAGCCGGCTGCAGAAATTTGCATAAGTAATGAGGAACAAAACGTTAATCCCCAAGACAATGGGGAAAATATATCCAGGGCATGTCAGAAGGTTTCACAGCAGCCCATCCCATCATAGGCCCAGAGGCCTAGGAGGAAAAACTGGTTTTGTGAGCTGGGCCCAGGGTCCCTGTGCTATGTGCAGCCTAGGGACATGGTGCCCTGCATCCCAACCACTCCCACCGTGGCTGAAAGGGGCCAATGTAGAGCTCAGGCTGTGGCATCAGAGGGTGCAAGCCTCAAGCCTTGGCAGCTTCCATGTGGTGTTGAGCCTGCCAGTCCACAGAAGTCAAGAATTGAGGTTTGGGAATCTCCATGTAGATTTCAGAGGATGTATGGAAATGCCTTGAAGTCCAGACAGAAGTTTGCTGTGGGGGCAGGGTTCTCATGGAGAACCTCTACTAGGGCAGTGGGTATGGGAAATGTGGGGTCAGAGCCCCCACACTGAGTTACTACTACGGTACTGCCTAGTGGAGCAGTGAGGAGAGGGCTACCATCCTCCAGACCCCAGAATGGTAGATCCACTGACAGCTTGCACCGTGTGCCTGGAAAAGCCACAGACACTCAATGCCAGCCCATGAAAGCAGCTGGGAGGGAGGCTGTACTCTGCAAAGCCACAGGGGTGGAGTTGCCCAGGACCATGGGAACCCAGCTCATGCACCAGCATGACCTGAATGTGAGACATGGAGTCAAAGGAGATCATTTTGGAGCTGTTTGATTTGACTGCCCTGCTGGATTTCGGACACGCATGGGGCCTGTAGCCCCTTTGTTTCGGCCAATTTCTCCCATTTGGAATGGCTGTATTTACCTAGTACCTGTACCTCCATTGTTTTGAGGCAGTAACTAGCTTTTGATTTTACAGGCTTATAGGCGGAAGGGGCTTGCCTTGTCTCAGATGAGACTTTGGTCTGTGGACTTTTGAGTTAATGCTGAAATGAGTTGAGACTTTGGGGGACTATTGGGAAGGCGTGATTGGTTTTGAAATGTGAAGATATGAGATTTGGGAGGGGCCAGGGGTGAAATGATATGGTTTCGCCCTTTGTCCCTCACCCAAATCTCATGTTGCAAGTCCCACAATTCCCACGTATTGTTAGCGGTGATTGAATAATGGGGGTGGGTCTTTCCTATGCTATTCTCCAGATAGTGAATGGGTCTCAGGAGATCTGATGGTTTTAAAAACGGGAGTTTCTCTGCACAAGTTCTCTCTTTTCCTGCTGCCATCCATGTAAGATGTGACTTGCTCCTCCTTGCCTTCCATCATGATTGTGAGGCTTCCCTGGCTACATGGAACTGTGAGTTCTCCATTAATCTCTTTCCTTTGTAAATTCCCCAGACTCGGTTATGTCTTTATCAGCAGCATGAAAGCAAACTAATTCAAAATGTAAAGTAGTTCAGCCACTATGGAAAACAGTTCTGTGGTTTGTCAAAAAGTTAAACATAGAATTATCTTCTTACCCAGCAATTCCACTCCTTGGTATATATCTGAAAGATTTGAAAATGGTACTCAAACAAGTACATGCTCATGCATGTTCATAGCAGCACTGTTTACAATAGCCACAAGACAAAAACAGCCCAAATGGCCATCAACAGATGATCAGATAATTGTGTTATAAATGTACACTGGAATATTACTCAGCAATAAAAAGGTATGAAGTACTGATACATGTACCAGTGTGGATGAACCTCAAAACAATGCTAAGTGAAAGAAGCCAGACACAAAAGGTCACATATGCTATGATTTCATTTATATGAAATATTCAGAATAGGTAAATCCATAGAGACAGAACACAGATTGGTGGTTGCCAGGTGATGGGAGAAGCAGGAAATGGGAGCGAGTGCCTAAGGGGTATAAGGTTTTCTTTTGGGGTGATGAAAATATTTTGGAATTAGATAGAGGTAGTGGTTTCACATCTCCTTCAGTAAATGCTACTGAATTGTTCACTTTAAAATGATTAATATTGCATCGTGTGAATTTCACCTCAATTAAAACAATTCAACAAACTTTCACTGGCTCCCCCTTGTGTACAGAATGAAGCTCCAGTTTCCCCAGCTTCCTATAGGAGACCTTCACAATCCACCTGCAACCTAATTTTCCATTTCCTGTCCTGCTTTTCCTTCCCCTGTAGTCTCCTCTCACCCATAAGGAAATAGTTGCTGTTGCCAAAACACTTTGTTGTTGTTGTTGTTTAATCCTTCTCTACTTTGGCTAATGCTCTTCTTCCTGTCTCCTTTCTTGGTGAAGAACAGTAGTGCTGGCTCCTCTATGAAGCCCATGCCCCTGCCTTGCCCCTCCCCAGGCAGTAGCATTCTTTATTGGCCTCCTCCCCTTGCTCACCCTTGCTCTGGAGGCCTCCTCACAGCCCCTTCACGTTGTGCTGAGGGTTGTGATGGCCCTGCCTCTTCCCATCATCACACTGTGTGCTTCGTCAAGGCTGGACCACATCCTATTCATGTTTCTATTCCTCGTGCCCACTACAGTGTAGAAAACATAGTGGGTACTCAAAATTTGCTTTTAAACAGTAATTTAGTTTTTTAAACAGCAATTTTTGCTTCTTTAATTTCAGATGTTGATTGTGGTAAAAAAAAAAAAAAGTCAGTTAAACTTCTTTTCTATATCTTGATTTACAATAGGAGTACTGTGAGGAATTAGATGGATATTACTATAAATGTTATATTCCGGCCAGGCCCGGTGACTCACGCCTGTAATCCCAGCACTTTGGGAGGCTGAGGTGGGCGGATCACGGGGTTGGGAGATTGAGACCATCCTGGCTAACATGGTGAAACCCCGTCTCTACTAAAAACGCAAAAAACTAGCCGGGCGAGGTGGCGGGCGCCTGTAGTCCCAGCTACTCGGGAGGCTGAGGCGGGAGAATGGCGTGAACCCGGGAGGCAGAGCTTGCAGTGAGCTGAGATCACGCCACTGCACTTCAGCCTGGGTGACAGAGTGAGACTCCGTCTCGAAAATAAAAAAAAAAAAAGAAAAAAAAAAAGTTATATTCCTTGTCTAACACAGTTGCATTTTCTAAATGATTACCCAGTCTGTATTTCCCCACTGAAGTGTTTTTATTTTTAGTAATTACATGCATATTTTTCTAATTATTTCCTTTGATATTTTGGAGGAAAATAATTTCAACATAAGCTTCTTACCTTTGGTAAAGATGCTCCAAAAATTACATATAGCCTGGGGGAAAATCTGTTAGTGATGTATTTTCTTAGACCCAGTTATACTTACTCTTACATGTTTTTTTTTTCCCCCCTTAAGATTGTTTAGCTTGAGTTTCTGTTGCTTGTAATAAAAAATATCCTGAATATTATAACTTAGGATGCTACAAGTGTTGCATAGACTCTGGAGATATGAGAAGGAAAAAATTCAGTCCTTGTCTCCAGGGTATTTGTGGTGGGTTGTGATGAAGTGGACAGAAAGGCTCACAGTTGCCACATAGTATGATGATGCTACAATTGACATTTATGCAAAATGACCTAGTACACAAAAGAGAGAACCCTTCACTCTGCTAGGGGAATAGAGAATGGTGGCCATATGGAGTTGAGTTTCAAAGAAGGAGTTGCTGGCAATAGGATTTAATGGTGCCTGGAGAGTGTCAACAGCCTCTTAAATAAAAATTTTTTAAAAAATTTTTATTTATTTTTTTTTACCAGTTGTTGCTCAGGTCACACAAGTGTAAACTAATTTTGATCAGTTTGAACTTACCTGCTCTCAAGTCTAGTAGAGACCTATTTTAATGACTATTGCCAAAATGTGATTTACTAGAGAGTATTTCAGGCTCAAATGCCAACTAAGTGTGGCAGGTTGTTTAGCCACCGTGTTTCACCATACTGCATTATATTTGATGGCCAAGATTAACTCTGTGTGTCAGCTCACTCCCTGATGTGCTGGATAAACCAGGGTGCCACTGTAGGACTCTGCATGTATTTATGTTATAGACACAGATTTTGTGAGTTGTTATGCATCTGGTGCAAGTATATGAGTAGAAGTTTGAACTTCAATTAGTTGGGTTTATGAAGCACTGACAGTGTAGGGCAATATATGAGGCATGTAGGAAATTACAAAGGAAATAGGAAACACAATCTTTGTTCATATTGAGTTTATAATCTAATGGAACAAATATAAATGGAGATACATGATAACAGATAAAATAAACATAAAAACATAGTCATAACCAGTTACAGATGGATAGAGATATTTGCACAAGTGCTGTGGAGTTGGGAAAATTATTGCAGTGACTCTTGTCAGCTGGGGTAAGTCTGTTTCAATACAGGATGTAAAACTTATGCAAAAATATTAAGGCCAGGAAGGACAAGGATTAATGTGGGGAAAATCATTCTAGGAAGTAAGAATGAAATGAAAATACAGAGGGAGCAGACTGTTGTAGAGGACAATAAGGTTTGCTGGAAAAGCTCAGTATTTTTAGGACATACATTTCTTTTGGAAAAGCAGCTATACTAGAGTAGGCTAACTGCTGTAACAATCAGTGCCAAGTGTCGGTGACTTAAAATAAAAGGTTACTTTTTTACATCAGATCCGATGGGAATCTTTGTGTGTATGTTTCTCTATTCTACGCAGTTATCTAGGGATGCAGGTTTGTAATAGCTACATTCTAGGTTCTAGGAGTCTTCCTGTAGGTTCTAAGAACCTCCTTCATCCAGCTGGTGAAATGGACAGAAAATGGAGGATAATCCGTGGGAGGTATATGTGGGGCTTGGCTACCCACATTCTACTGACCAGAACTCTGTTTTGTGTCCCCACCTCCATTCAAGAGCCCGGGAAAGGTAATGTAGTTGGGTGCCTCTGAGGAAAAAGACATGGGCTTTGGGGGACACATCTCTTGCCATCACTTTTTTCCTAGTATCTTATGAATCTAGAGCACATCCTTCTTTTTCACCTGAAATTTAGGTGATCTGAGTCTCCAATTTTCCTACGGAGCTTACGTGCCCTGCCGTCACCTCACACTCACCACTCTCTCCTTTCCTGGCTTCATTATCCATTATTTTTTATCAACAGTCTCTTCATTCTTTCATTACCTTGGCATGTACCTTGCAGTTATGGTTAGCAGTGTTCCTTCAGGATACCTCTTCAGCCTGTTCTTTCTTTTCTTCTTCCATCTGCGCACACTCGTGATAGTGACCTTATCTCCGAATGATGGTGTTGGTATAGTAAGTCCCTACCTAGAACTCTAGCCCGAATATTGCTGCTACATAAATAATCATTTTCTTCTTGCTCCACTCTCATTTAGTAATCTCTTTTCCTCCCTTTTGTGTGAGGATGAACTCCAGATTCCTCAGCCTGTGCCTAAAGAATCACTGTCCCCTACCCTCATTTCTGACAACTAATCACAGGAAGGCTCTACTCTACAGGCAGAGTGGTCATAGCAGTCCCTGAATGTAGAGGATGCTAATTCTGACCCGGTCTCTGAATTTAGAGGATGCTAATTCTGACCCCGGAGAATGTACAGTTTTGTACATTTCTGGAGCAAGTCTCAGCTCATGTCATGTATAACTCATGAAACCTTGCACATAAACACATTGTCTTCCAGTAATATTTCACTTGTGTGTTTCACTCACTTCTCTGGGTACTTAGACTTATCTAGCCTTGTTTTGCTATAAAAATGTTTGTGTGCATGTTTTGTTTCTTCACATTGATAGTTAAGATCCATAAGAGCAGGGACTATGTCATATATCTCATAATTTCCCACAGAGCCTAGCATGTAACTAGGCACACAATGATTACTCAACAAATACTTGCTGAATAAATGTATTGGATGGCGATGAAGACACTTAGGTGTAGAGATTTGGATAGGAGTTTTCATTTGATTCAAGAGGCAGTTGGGAGCCATTGATAGCTTTTGAGAACAGGAATCAAAAATTATTCGGGGAAGGGAATTCTTATGGTTGTTTGTAGGATCCTGTCAGGTTGCAAATAAACAAATACAATATGTTAGAGATGGAGTCAAATCAAGGAGCCTGCTTTTTTTCAGACAGCGAAGTGGCCCTGTGCCCTACAGAATTAGAGAAGGTGGAAGTCTGAAGCCAGAGATTTCTGATAGGCTTTTGAGTTGTGAAACATAGGATATAAAAGTAAATGATAGGACTTACTGATACCTGGAGACTGAAAGAAATAGGTGGCTTTCACAAATTCTGATAACTGTAGTACTGATGGTAACAAATTGGGAATGAATAATGATTTGAATGACTGTAATGTGTTGATTTAATAGATGTTCAGGTTTAGGATGAAACAGGATTTCAGATGCAGATGTTCTACAGGTAGGATGGTATGTTTGAAAGAGCTCTAATTGCAGAGTTAGGAGACCAGTGATCTAATCCCAACTTTGTTGTTGTTGGGGTTTGTGACCTTGGGGAAGTCATTCACGCTCTCTGCATATTATTGCGTGGGTTAGGCTAGAGCATCTCCATGGGGCAGATCATTGAGAGTCTCCCTGTCTAGGCATGCATCATAGCAACTTGAGAGTTTTAATACAAATGATGATTTCATTCATAATTTTTGTTTCTTTTATTTTTTGCAGAATTGAAGACAAACATTTCCTCACCTTTCTTGCTATAATTATATTTCAGTGTTAGCCCTTTTTAATCCCTTTCACCCTTTAACTGCATCCAAAAAATGAATACTTATCAGTTACTGAGAAATTGGAATGTAAGCTCAATTATGCTAAAAACTAATGGGTAACACTAACACAGAGTAACAGCTTCTTTTGCAGTATTTACTCTCTTGTTGAAAAAAAAAAAAAAAAAAAAGCCCAACAGCCCATTGCTGCAGAAAGAATTTAGCTACAAGTTTATCAATTTAAGCAGGCCAACTGCACAACTAAATGCATGTGAAACTTAACAAATCCCTTGGGAAAGCTGACTGTAAGAATTTTCTAGTCTGTGTTGAGTTACTGAGGTGAGACATGGTGGATTGGACTTAATGCCCTAGGCAAGCACGATCAAATAGAGACAGTTTAAGATTTTTTTTTTCTGTGTCCATGCAGGGATCTCTGGTAGGTGTCTAAATGAAGCATTCAGAAAGGACTATAACACCATCATGAGTTATCTTCCCTGAATATTTTGGAAGGTTATTTTGGTTTAGAAGAAATCCAAGTAAGATTTTCACAGTGTAAGCTTTGCAACAGTTGAATGATTTAAGATTGTTATGTGATTCATAGGAATAGGGGAAAGTACAAAGCATTGTCCTTTACATTTTAATTTTAATTTTCAAGGGAGAAATTCAAGAATAGTATGTGTGATTTCCTGGACTTATTTTGGGTTAAGGCAGTTTGATATTCTAGTCTTTTAAAGTTGAGCATCAAAACTGGTTCTAAGACCATACTTACCCTGGAATTTTAGAAGAGTTTGATATAAGAAAGGTATTGTAGTAAAGTGGTTGAGTGGGTAGGGTCTGGAGTCTCGTTACACTGATTTGAATCCTGGTTATAGCACCTATTAACATGTGACTTAGGGCAAATTAGTTAACCGCAGGTTTCTAATCTGTAAAATGGGAGTTACGCCGTCATTATTAGGGGTGTGTTAAGATTAAATGAACTATTAATAGTTAGTGTGAAGCATTTAGAACAGAGCCTGACATGTAGAGAGCACTCAAATATTAGCTATGCAACAACTATAATAATAATTTTTAGTACAGTGTGTGTTGCTTAATCACGGGGATACATTTTAAGAAATGTGTCATTAGGCTACTTTGTCATTGTGCGAACATCATAGAGTACATTTACACAAACCTAGGTGATATAGCCTGCTACACAGTAGGCTATATAGTGTAACCTATTTCTCAAAGCCTACAAAGCTGTACATCATGTTATTGTACTGAATATTGTAGGCAGTTGTAACACAATGATAAGTATTTGTGTATCTAAACATAGAAAAGGTTAAGTAAAAATATAGAAAAAAGATGAGAAATGGTACCCCTGTATAGGGCACTTACTGTGAATGGAGCTTGCAGGGCTAGAAGTTGCCCTGGGTGAGTCAGTGAGTGAGTGGTGAGTGAATGTGAAGGCCTACGGCGTTATTGTACACTACTCTAGACTTTATAAACACACTGTTCACTTAGGCTACACTAAATTTATTTTTAAAATATTTTTCTTCAATAATAACTTTAGTTTACTATAACTATTTTACTTTATAAACTTTTGATTTTTAAAAACTTTTTGACTCTTTTGTAATAACAGCTTAAAACATAAATACATTGTACAGATATATAAAAATATATTTTCTTTACCTGCATTCCATAAGCTTTTTTCTATTGTAAAAAGTTTTTTTTTTAGTGTTAAAACTCTTTTACTAAAAACTAAGACACAAACCCTCACATTAGCCTAGGACTATACAGTATCAAGGTCACTAATATCACCGTCTTCCCCCTTCACATCTTGTCCCACTGGAAGGTCTTCAGGGGTAATAACATGCTTGGAGCTGTCATCTCCTATGATAGCAGTGTCTTCTTTTGGATACCTCCTGAAGGACCTGCCTGAGGCTGTTTTATAGTTAACCTTTTTTTGTGAGTAGATGGAGTACACTCTAAAATAATTAAGAGAAATATAGTATAAGAAATGCCTAAACCAGTAACTTAGTCATTTATTATCATTATCAAATATTACACACTATGCATATATCAAATATTATGTGGACCAAGGGTTGGACAAGCTTGGTTTACACCATCATCACCATAAACATGTGAGTAACGTGGTATGATGATAGCTACACCGACACTAGGTGATAGGAATTGTTTTCAACCCCATTATAATCTTAGGGGACCATTTACATATATGTGCTCTGCCTTTGACTGAAAATGTCATGTGGCACATGACTACATTGTTATTCTGTGATTACTTAGTGCGTCTATGTAGTTTCTTGGGAGCACAAGTCACATCATGTCACAGTCCTTCAGCTGCCCAGTACTCAGCTAACAATCTGAGAGGTGGGCTTGAGAGTTGGGTCCCCAGTCCCTGAGATAGCTGGAACCCCAAGCAGCCGACATTTTCCACCTAGGGAAGGCGTCCTTCTAGAGGAAACTCACTCTGAAATAATCTGTGCTGGCAAATAGAGGAAACCCTTTAGAGGCAAACTGGGGTTGAAGAGGGGAGTTGTTCCAAATTTACAGGCAGTGGAAGTCTCAAAGTTGTTAATTAAAGCTACTGTTCCTTGGACATTACTTGGTGGTTGGGTCGTAAGGATTCAGAGAGCTTTCCTCATTTTTTTAAATGTCAGCTTTCATGATAGCACTTGCGAGTCTTCAGTCTCACTTTAGACCTTTGAACAAGGATATTCTTTTCAGCTTTTCCTATAACCTGTCCTCATGATACTGACCTGTGTCCTTATGATTATGACAACGATCCTTCCACGGAAACTCTGCCCCTAACACTTAAACCTCAACAGCCAAACTTGGAAGCATGTAACTCCCTCCCGGTGAGCCAGCTGGCTGACCAGAAGGCAGGGAGCCATTGACATTGACCTCAGCCTCCTCCCCTGACTCGGCACATTGACCACTTCCTTCATCTCCTCTTGCTCTCTGGATCTCTGGAGCCTACTTGTCTCCGGCTCTATTGATTTTTCCAAACCAGTGCTTCCCTGCTTCTTGCTTCAGAACCTTCCTAATCAGGACTCTCAAGGAAAAGATAAAGAGGAGGCACTAGAGGAGTCAAAGCTGAAGGGAGAAAGGCTGGGCCTAGAGAGAGTGATCACATCATTGGTGGTTCTGCCTGGGACATTTTGAGGGGAAAGTGGGGGCTATTCATCATAACACTAGGACAACCTGGTGTAAAGCT